TTTAATTCCTTCAAGAAATTTTACCACTCAGTTGAAGAAACTGGGGATTTCAGACATTGAATAATTTACCCAAATCACAGATTTAAAAAGCAAAAGAGAAGGGATTTGATTAAAGGTTATTGGGATTGTAATCTCTTCATGTTATACATTTATTTTCTTATAAAAGTCTCAGGGATTTTCACTGCCATTCTAAGTGTAAATAAACAGTATAATAATAAAATAACTCCTTATACTTACTTAGCATGCAATACACAAAAAKCACACTAGATGGCAACAGAAGGCAAGGAACTAAAGAACAAATGTCTTTCCCACTTAATAAAAGTAGTTGGCTTTAAAATTAAAGTATCTATGTCCTCTTCCGTTTTAATACTCTCAGAAGGCAAAATTCATATGTTCTAATACACCTTCTAGGTAAAAACTTCTAGACCCGCATTACATTTTAGAAATTGCTTAGTAATCAATCTGTATTATTACTAATTCAGTGAAAATGTTAGATTCATAACACATAATGCCTTCTTAATTGTTAAATTTTGTAAGAAACACTAATGATAAAACTTCAYATTAATATTTAGGACTAATTACTGACTTCAACAAATGTTAATTGTGCAACTAATATGAGGAATACAAGTAAGGATACAATGATAAAATGTATGAAATATGATATGTCAAGAGCTTTGTAATGTTTTGAACAACTGATAATAAAAAAAAGAAAAAAAACAAATATCAAAAAAAGTATACAATGATAAACATTACAGACCTGATTTTCATGGTCTTGGTGGAGCAAGATATGTAAACATCCACCAACACTTTATAAAACATCAGTGGGAAAATAGACGAGGAAGAGATTAATCCAAATTAAGARGAAGCTGGGGAAAACTTCTGGGAAAGCTGCCACCTGAGTTTAACTTCATTTGTTGAACAGATATTTCACAGATGAACACAGGGTAGAAGAGCATTAACATAAGCAAATTCGTGAAAATGTTCATTCATAGTTCATGTTCTGGAAAAAGCGTAGCTTATATGAAAGACTGTAGTGAAAGATAAGCCTAGAAAAGTTGGAGCAGGCCCAGACCATGAAAAATCTAGAAGGTCATGCTAAAGAATTATCTTTAATTCTACTGTAACAGGGGAAAAGGCTGAACAGAGAGATCAACAATTCAGGAAGCTTAATAGAGCCATCTGAAAGACATACTAAACCTGGAAGAAACCTGAGAGAAAGCAACTATTGTGACAGCCTGTAAATAGGGGACTCAAGAGAGATAAAGCTTGGCAAATGATTGGATGTAAAGAATAAGTGACTGGGCTGGCATAGTGATACATGACTGTAATTCCAGAAACTCAGGAGACTGAGGCAGGCCATTGCAAGTTTGAGGCCAGCCTCAACAATTGCCAGATCCTGTCTTGAAAAATAAAAAGGGGTTGGGAATGTAGCTCAGTAGTAGAACAGTGCTGGATTCAATCGCCATTTAACATAAAGAAACAAACAAAAAAGTTCATGATGAGGAAGAGCCAAAACATTTTAAAGAATCTAACATAGAGCTGTTAGTAAGACAATTATGTGATTTTGGGAAAAAAAAATACAGAGAATATTAGGAAGGAAAAGAATTAGTAGATGGGAAGATGGAAAGAATTAATAACTTGGTTGTATAGTAGATGTCAATGGAATATCATCCATATAAAGAGGTCTAGTAGAAGCAAGAAGTATAGGTCTGGGGCTCAAGAGAGCAGGTAGTGCTAAAAACACAATTTGGGGGTGGTTCAAATCAAGATAAATTTTGACCATGAGAGGAGATACAAATCCCAGGAAATCAGGAAAACATGGAAGGAGGGATAGAAATCAGTTCTGAATAATGTCTACATTTAGCTGTTTTGCAGTTTTTGCTCACTGATCATGCCTAACCCATAGAAGTCCACTCTGCCCTGAGGAAGGACTCCAAGAAGAAGGTATAATCCACAGAACGACTGTAAGAAGCACAAGCCCAGTAGCCAGAAGAGCTACTCCACGTACGTGTACAAGGTGCAGAAGCAGGTGCAAACCGACACAGGCATTTCTTCTGAAAGCCATGGGCATCATGAACTCTTTAGTCAATGACATCTTTGAGCGCATTGTGGGAGAGCCAATGTACCTGAAATGCTACAAGTGCTCCACCATCATGTTGAGGAAAGAAGATCCAAAAGGTCCTGGGCCTCGAACTACATGGGTTGCTGGCCAAGCACACTGTGTTGGAGGGCACTAAGGCTGTCACCAAATGCGCCAGTGCCAAGTGAACATGCCATGTAAGAGTCTTTAACCCCAAAGACTCTTTTAAGAGACACTTAAAAAAAAAAAGTCTACATTTAGGGGTTATAGAACACAATTTAAACTAGATTCAAAAAGAGTAGATAAGAGCCATACAAGGAGAATTCATGAGAGTGAAATATTAGATAAATCAAAAGAAAGAGATTATGTCATGATAGGACAATTAATGGTTTCCAAAACTTCAAGGTCTAAGTAGCATGAGGATTGAGATGAAGTCACTGGATTTGATAATCAGGAAGTCACTAGTGATCATTAAGTGAGTAGTTCAGTAGTATAAAATTACACTACAGTTTGTTGAAAGCCTGACTACAATGTGATGAGAAATAAAAGGAAAGATACTAGGAAAGACAACTTTTTGGAAAACTCTGCCAGTAAAATGATAAACTGGGGGTAAGAAATTAAGTATATACTGATCATGTGAAGCCTGAATTTTGTTTGGAGAATGACAGCTGTATATAGAATGGGGTGGGGGAACAGTGGTGAGAGAGAGAAGGGGGATGCAAGTAAGATATAACTGATGACCAGTAGGTCAAAGACCCATTAGAAACCCCAGAAATAAGAGACATCAAAAACTTAGAAAAAGAGATTCATCTTAGGAAATAGAGGGCTGGTAAAGCAAAAAAAAAAAAAAAAAAAAAAAAAAAAA